GGGGGGGGGGGAGACAGTTCGGTTAAGCCATAAAAAGCAAGGGTTGAGGCTTTTTATATCAGAATATTATATTGTGTACATCTCATACAAAGGTCAAGGAGAATAGGTAATAGTGAACCAGAGAAAGAAAGAAAACGTAACGCAAATGATACTAGAGACGCCATGAACCGCCCAGTACAGTTGTTTGCCTAGTTCTAAATAAAGATATCCGCGGTGAGAAAGCAATGTCATCGTGCTGAAAGTACTGGCAAAGCTTACGTCAGTCCTTTCTGTCAAGACTAACTTGAAAACGTACTGCACGCACGCACGCACATGTCTAAATTGTTCACGCAGAATGCAAGGCCCGTACCAGCCAAGTGTAAGTCAACCACAGTGACGGGGACGCAAGTCATGTCGGGAGCCCCAAGTCGTGTCGGGAGCCCCTTCGAGCAAATGTGAAGCTTTTCGACGGCTCACATCAATGTGTACATTTTTCTTTTCCAGCAAATATCACTCTTGGAGAGTCGTGGTGAACAATCTCTTTTAAAGTTTAGAAAAGTATGTAAATCTTTTTTTTTTTTCCTTTTTTTTTCGTTTTTTTTTTTTTTTTTTTGCCTACTAGCTTGCTTCAGCTTTGTAATTTTGTATACGAATTTATAACCACCCTCATAGTTCATGGTTATGTTCTATTTTATCCATTTACTTTGTTATGGGTTTGATCTGGCAGCCAGTGAATGACTTAGAGAGAAAGGAGAGAGAGCGAAAGAATGAGAGGGGGGGGGGGGAGAGACTATGAAAGAGAGAAAAAGAGAGAGCTCGGGGAGGGGCCGATTTTGAGAAGCAATAGCAGGTGAAAACATACTTTCACTTTCTTCTTATTGGAGGTGAATGAAGGATGGTATTGTCTTATATAACTTTTCTGTGACTGCAAGCTTAGCTCAATACCCCAAAATCCAGCCCACAAATGTGTCTTTGACCTTCCCGAAGATCTAAAAACTCTATCCTCCTTAGGAAATAAAGTAAGTCCTTTCGGAATAAGAATCCAGAACGATCTCAAAGACATTGATTTTTTCTGAAGACATAATCGAGCCCTTTGCCATGTCCAGCATACCTCCATGGCATTTAACCAAACCAAACATAGATACTAGTCTTGAAAAACACAACAAAAAGTCTACAGACAAAACTACATACTTAAACTCATACAAACAGCTAATAAATAGATACCCTGAAGCAGAGAAACTCTTTACAGACGGATCCAAAAATGATTCCTCAGTAGGAGCTGCTGCCTTTGCATCGCCACACAGCTTAAGCTTAAGCTGTACATTCCAACTCACAGTTTAAGGTCATCAGCTGACAAAAAGAAATTTATTTTGCTTTCTATGAAACTTAAAACAATGAGTGAAAGGGCATTTGAATACCAAGGCCCCAAGATCTGGAAAGCTTTACCAAGTACTTTAAGAGAGATCAAATCTTTTGATTCCTTCAAATGTCAGCTGAAGTCGTTTCTGTTTTTAAAATAATAAGATGAATATTTGGAGTAATTTTCTTTAGTCAGAACAAAACGTTTTATGTTACTGTTGTACGTTGAACTGTATTGTAAAGCTCTCAGAGCCTGTGTACTTTAATCGGGATTGAGCGTTATATAACTGTCATTAATTTATTAGTAGTATTATTATTGTAATAAAGAAACCAGATCTGAAAAAAATGTGTATGAATAACAAAGGTTTTCTTCTTTTTTTTAAATGCCCCCAACGCAGTGTGTCTTCAGAATATTCAGAAATGTATGCCCTTTTTTTGGGGGGTAATGTAGATGTTTTTTCCGGCCCCGCCGACCCAATTTGGTTCATTTAAAACCCGGGTTTTTACCCCTGACAGCGATGTCACCGTGATGAAAAAATCTATGTTTGTTTGTGGGGGGGGGGGGGGGGAGAAGAAGAGAGATGCAAGAGTAAGAGAGGGAAACACACACACTGACAGACTGAGAAATAGAAAGTGTAAGTACGTGTGTGTGTGTGTGTGTGTGTGTGTGTATGTGTGTGTGTGTGTGTGTGTGTGTGTGTGTGTGTGTATGTGTGTGTTTGTGTGTGTGTGTGTGTGTGTGTGTTGTGTGTGTGTGTGTATCGTGTTATGTGTATGTGTGTGGGGAGCGAATTTCGTTTGCTTTGTCTAATCCTCCATCTTGTTTCCTACTTGCAGGCGATAAGATTCCACTTATCCACTCTGGCGGCCAAAAGCCATCACTTCTCTCGTTGTCCCGGAAAGCCAACAAAGAGACAGAGAAACCAGAGGATGATAATCAAGGTCAAGGCCAAAGCTATGGAACGTATGATGGCGGCACTGATCCTGGTGGTGAGTTTCTTCTTGTTATCTGTGCCTTGAAATGTTCAGTTTCCGTTTACTTTTAAACCTTTTTTTGCTCTGGTTGTTTTGTTTGTTTGATTGTTATTGTTTGTTTGTTTATGTATCGTAATTGCTCTTTAATGAATTCGTGATGATGACGATGACGATGACGATGATGATGATGATGATGATGATGATGATGATGATGATGATGATGATGATGATGATGATGATGATGATGCAAAAGGTGTTGGTTGTTTCTTTTAAATTCACCCCAGGGCAGGGTGTGTGTAAAACCTTTACAGACGCGTGCACACACACACACACACACACACACACACACAC